AGTCCAAAGGTTCCTGCTATTTGAGAGGAGTTCGTTATTTATATTATCTTTTGCTTTTGAATTGAAGAAGTTAGTTATTTAGTTTTCTGTCAAACTTTGTATTCTTGGGTTCTTAGAAGTTCCATTTGACTACATACAGGTTTTTATATTATGTGTTGATAGTTTAGTTATTATTTAAATTAAATTTTGTTTAATTTCATATCAGATTTTGGTTTAATTAAATTCTGAGTTTTTTATTTAGTTTGCGAGATTAGAATTTATTATAATCCTAACATCAGTCACGGATCTAGTTTTTGATTCATGACAGGACATATAGAATAAAATAGTAATTGATTAATTAATTTTATGATTTGCCATGTTTGGAGACTGATTTCTTACTTTGGTTTTAGGATCTCTGAAATCTCTTTTTATTGAAGCTAAAAGCCAAAGGATCCTCTAATTTGAACTTATATAAGTCTGTTGTCTGCTGTTGGATATCGGCTTTAATGTGAGTAATAATGTGTATTTATAAATATTTACAATTTCTAAAATCTATTATAACTCTTGGATTTTACTTGATATATATTGTCCAACATATTTGATTTTTGAAAAACTAAATTAAATTATTTGATAAGTAAGGGACATGTATGTAATTAAATTAAATTTATTTTGAAAAGTTATTTTACATTGCTTTCTTGATGCTAATTATAATTGTATTCGAAATTTTTGTTTTATGCTGACAACTATTTCTGTTTATCACTAAAAAAAAAATTTGTTTAAGGGAGTTTTGGATTAACAAAACACTGCAGTTAACAACAGTAAGCTTTATACTAGTTGCACCTTAGACTATATCTCTAACTAGCAATGATGGTGTTAGATTACTATGTTAGGCCAGCATGATTGAATTGTATGATTGTATCTTTACAGACAAGAATTCGCCAAATCTGACCACTATACTGTTTAAGTTCTAAATCACAAACTCCTTAAATTTCTGTTAATTATGAAATGCTGCTTTATTTAATGTTATAACTTATATACTTGTCTCCTGTGCTTAGAGATACATATTATTATTCATTGAATTTGTGGACTTACCTCTTTATTATTTTTCAAATTTAGAGATTGACCTCCATCCGGATTTTGCTATCTAAGAGAAGGTTATTGTTTTTGTTGGGCTGACGCTAAGTTTAGAAGTTAGTTATTAATTTTCTAATTTTTGCTAGATTTTGTTGTAGGGATTTCCATAGAAAAGCTCCATTGCCTACGGATAAGTTTACTAATGATATATTGTCGAGTTGTTTTGAGTGAATTTTAAACTATACTCTGGTTTAATTATTATTTCATATTGCATACTTGTTTAATTTGTATTTGATTGATACTAAAGTGATGGAATGACTGTTAAACTTGCTATGGTGGATTTCTTTCCAACATTAGTATCGGTCACAGATCTAACTATTGAATTGTGACATCCCTTGCACTTAATAATCTTAGACTACTGGAACGTCCATAATTTTTCACCTTAAGATAGCTGGAATTAGTTTATTAAATAATTGATCTTTATTGGAAGTAAAATCTTCAAGTGTTGAAAAGATCTCAGTATCCTTAAAAGGTTTTTAATTGAATCTTGGGTGGTTCTTTAATGATTTGGAGGAAACCTCAAACCTCCATTTTATAGTACAAGGTGTTTTAGGATGTATAAGTGTTATTGAAAAGTTTGAAAAACCTAAAAATATGAAAGAACTTATTGTGGCTCATAATGGTAATGGTGTGCTTGGGCCTAATTCTACTAATTAGGATGAGACAGCATACTTAAACAGTCTCTAGGGTGTTACAGCACCTTGCTATAGTAATATTACATTATTTTTTTCACAAAATTCACATATATTTAAACTTTTAAATAATTACTCATCTCTCAGGAGCCCTCATGGATCATTTTTTAAAATTATTATTGAACACTTCTAATTATATCTAAAATTATTTTTAAACAAAATCATATAAAAGTGCACTTTGAAATCTTTAAAGTACTGTTTTTACTCGTAAATCTTTAATTCTATATCCTTCTTTATTATTTTTCCTTCATGCATGCGCACATGGCTTGATTGTTTTTATTTTATTTCTTGTTATTTTTTATTCGTGTTGTACTTATATTAATGTCAAATTAAAACTTTTTAATATTTATGATTTTGTTGTTTTAATTCAATTTGTTATTTTTTTTATTGATCATGTATTTTGGTCAATATTAAATTTGAAATTTTAACTATATTTATAATTATTTAATTATATTATTAATTTTTTATTATATATATGTGCACACGCACACGCACACGCACATATATGTGCAGCTTTTACTTTTACATTTCGGTGTTACATATCTAAACTTTCTTTAGTGAGAACTGTTACTTATAACCTTGATATCAACCAAGGAGGTATACCTATAAGTCAAAAAAGGGTTCCTTTATCTATATTAAATTTAGATAAAATGATTTTTAAAAAATTATTTTATATAAAATAAATTTTTAGAAAATAGATTTAAATAAAATATATAATGCTTTTTGATTATATAGAATAATAAAAGTAAATTACAAATTTTTAGATATTCAAAATATTATTTAATTTTTTAATAACTATTCCAATAGGTTTATTATTATTATTATTATTATTTTATTTTTTTAAATTTTACTAATCCTCCAAAAAAAGAGTACAGCCAAATCTCCTTTCGGCCAAGCTTGACCCCACTTTATGAACCCTGATATCCAGGCCAAACAAACAGGAAATCAACACTTTGCTCTGGACTTCTCCAGGGATTAGAAAGAAATGCACGGAGTGGGAGGATTCTGTCTTTAATATTATATGAACACCAATAATGATATAATTTTCAATATTATATTATCACCTTAATGCACTATTTTATTTTAACTATAATTAAAAATCTAACAAAATTAAAATTTTGTGTTAATAATAATAATAATAATAATAATAATTTTGGCAGATCTCCTTTAACCTTGACATGCTCCAATCCAATTGACCATTTGACTAGGGTTCGTGGTGAGGTCTCGTTCAATTTGAGGCTCATGTAAAAATTCACTGTACTTCGTATTTATAATTTTTAAAAATTAAATCAAACATGATTCTTGATTTGAAATGATTTAAAATAATTGTTTCAAATTACAATTTATAATTTATGAAACTAGGATAAATTAGATTTACTATTTTTAAAAAATTTTGATAAAATGTTCTCAAAAAATAGATATGAAAAAATAGTTTTTAACATGTTTAATTCAACAAATTCATTATTTATTAATTAATCATAATAATAATTATATATTACACAGTGAATACTTTTATACAATGTAATACAGTCTAAATTCATATAATAAAAGTGGCCTTTTAAAGAAAAAATAATTAGTTATTAAAAAAGTATAAATACAAAAGAGAATAAAAAGAAAAAAGTATGCAAATTAACAATAAATATAAACTATATATATAGCATATATATACTTATATAAATAAGTTCTTAATATTATATGGATACAAATTATACAATTTAATTCAATTAATATAATTTATTTAGCAATCAAATTATAAATTAAACCATTCTATTTATAAACCAGAGTAAACTAAATTAAACAAAATCATAATTTAATTAATTTACGTAGTTTAATTTAATTTCTTAAACAACTCATAGGCCGAGACGGCAAACTTGACCTTGCCCGACCAACTCCCCTCTATTCCTAATTCCTCCTTTGGCAAACACAGCTAGGCCCATAAATGAACTCGCCGCTTCCTGTTAGGGTTGACCCACATGGCGGGGATAAAGCCCCCAAATTTTTAGATTAGATTGCCATCCATTAATAGCAATAAATAAAAAGGACAAAAATCAAGAGTCATAAATGCTTGCAATTTTAGAATCGGGTCCAGGAATCATGGGCACGGGGATTCTTAAAGATTTTCTAAATTTCAATCCCTAACTTTTACTTATTTCAAAATTAAGACATGTATTATTTTAAAATCCCAGTTGGTACCCAAATCAAACAATCATTATGCCTATGGGATTCTTGAAGATTCTCTGAATTTCAATTTCTAACCTCGGAAATTTTTGAACTTATTATGAAATTTACAAATTAAATAGATTATTAAGTTTTAAATCTGTTAAATGGTAGATAAAAATAAGTAGACCCAAATAATAAATAATCCAATTTTTTTTAATTACACCTTACATGCACACGAACATATATAATAGTTTCATTCGCCTTCCATCCTTCTTCTATGGATTTATTTAATAATGTGCGATAACATATTGAATCAAAAATTTTAATATCCTTAAAATCAATAATATCATCTATATATTTAATAAATATTAAAATAATTGAATTATTAAATCAGTCATTTATATAAAATCACTAGATGAACTCTAACATTAGGAACAGATCTTCCTCCTCCCTCTTCCTTTCCTCCTCACTTATAACTCGTAAATTAAAAATTAAAAAATCAAAAAGAGAAGAACTTTCTTTTTCATTTTTTTGGGATTATTTTGATAAGTTAGAGGCGGAGGATGGGAGAAAAGAAAAAAAAAAACTTACGGTGGTTTCGGTCTGTGTTTTGTCGGCCTTCTTGATTTGACGATTTTAATACTTTAAATATTGATAAAGACTTTTTCGGTCACTTTTGGCAAGTGGGCGACTTGACTTTATAACGGGCAAAAACTAAAGCGACGAAAGGGAAGAAAAGAGAAATTCATATTCGTGCGAGTGGGGCGTGACTCGACTCGACTCGACTCGACTCGTCTCGTGACTCGTGGGTGGTGGGAAGCGAGGATGGTCGCGTAGATAATACGCCAGCGTGCAAAAGCCTAACTAATTTGACTTTACCTGTGCCGTTTTAATAATAAATTAATCATTTTTTTAAAAAAGGAAATTACTAAGCGATTCAAAGGCCTTAACCCCCCATTGGTTCATGACGAGATTGTCTTCGATGCGAATTTGGATTGTTGCTTCCCCGAAATTCTCCGATTTTGTATTTGAGCCCCGAAAACGCGCTATCTAGAGCAACTGAAGCGGAAGACGACGACGACGAGGAGAGTTTGCTCAATTTCTTCACCGAAATTACAAGCTAGGGAAAGAGAGAATGTCGGGAGGTATTGCGCGCGGCCGCCTCGCCGAGGAGCGGAAATCCTGGCGGAAGAATCATCCTCATGTTCGATTCATCTCTCTAATCTGTGCATAAATCTCGATTTTCTGCTATGCTTGGTGCTATGGTTGATATATTCGTTTTGATCTTCATTTTTTTTTTGGTTTATGTGATTTGTGCTCTATAATATTATGATTTTTAGGGTTTCGTTGCAAAGCCGGAGACTCTTCCTGATGGTTCGGTGAATTTGATGGTGTGGCAGTGCATTATCCCCGGCAAGGCCGGAGTAAGTCATGTTTAGTTCTTTATATAGCATATTCCCTGTTTTCTCTTTGAATTTTTCAGTTTTATGACAACGTGCTAGCACCAGAACCTGTTAGCTTGTGTTCTTTCTACTCCTAATATGTTTCTTCTTTTCGTCCTCTATAAAGTCTGATGTGATGAATACACAGACACACACTGCTTGATGTAAGTTTAGTGTTGTTATATGAGGGTTAGGATCTGTTAGTAGTTTTTAGCTGTTGGATTCGCTGAGGTCGTTAAATAGGAAATTTGGCTGAAATGCGGTACATGCTCAGTATGATTCCTAATTCAATTGTCTGTTTTAAATTAATTACGGTCACATAACATGTGATGGATAATTGGTTTTTGAATATTTTTTTTTTTTTGGGTTGAATTTCTAATTTCATCTGTTCATTCGATATTAGGTGGTGGGTTGTATCTGATTTTGGTTAGAAATCATACTGTCTGATGGTGTTATATATATTAAACAACTAATTTAAAAATTTTGTGAACATTTTGAGTCAATAAACGTTTTCACACATGTAGAGTGGAAGGATGATGTGACTTTTGAAAAAAATGAGTAAGTTGACTTGGTCAAATAAGAACACTGGCCAATAGGAATCGGAAAAAGCCATGTGTACGAGCCACGTGAAATGGCCTTCCAAGTGAGCAAATAATTTTCTCTTTTTTTCCTCCTTAAAATGTCGGCCACCAAAAGGAAGAAGGAGAGATGTAGTAGAAGTGTATATATATATGTATATAACCAAGTCAAAAAAGGAACTAATAGGAAACTATCAAGTTGCTTAAACATTTAATGCATAAGCCACCTTTTTCTTTGATTCCTTTCTCCAAATTCGTCCAACCCTCCAAACAAAGAAAAAACTAGAAAAAGAGGACAAGAGGAAAAGTGGAAGGAAAGAGAGAGATAAGATGTATATATATTCAAGTCACCGCCAAAGAGCCAATAAAAATGCTTCATGTGTTAAGGCATTTAATGCCTCTCTTTGCCTCCATATTTCTTTCCTTTCCTTCCCAATTTTGTCCAAGAAAGAAACAAAGAAGAGAGAGAAAAGAGCCGAAGGAGGAGGAGGAAGAAAAGAGAAGAAAATTTCAAGAAAATTTAGATAATTTTCTCAAAATTTCCTCTATATTTTCTTAGTTAGATTTTGTATATTTGAAGTGGAATTTCTCATATGTTTTAAGATTATATTTCTTAAACTTCAATTTTGGGCTCCTCAAAGTGAAACTTCCCACAAGTAAGACACTGCGGGGCCTGTCTTGATGCTGCCCTGCTGGCACCTCCTTGACTGCCTCCTGTATCACCCACACTACTGCCTGTGGATGGCATAACTGCTCTAAACCTCCTCTGTGCCTGACTAGACTCTGCCACTGAGCCTGTACACGATATCTCTGATGGGACTTGCTCTTGACTGGAGGCTATCATCAAAGTTGGCTTCTTCATTGGAGAACCCTCCCTTTTATTGAAAGAGGTTCCTGCAGCACTCCTCTTTGCCTTCTCTTGCCTCCTACTAGAGAATGCACTCTCCACCTCTTTCGCTCTCAAGGCAGCAGCTACCAAGTATGCAAAGGTACCGTATCATGTGGATATATTGTAGTGTGGGCCCTGATCTCCAATTTCAATCCATCCTGAAATAATCTGCACTTTACCCTCTCATCAGACACATAATGGGTAGCAAAACAGGATAAGTCAGTGAACTTTGCTTCATAGTCTGCTTCTATCATATTTTGTTGCTTTAAATCAAGGAATTCTTCTCTTTCTGTCTTGATATACTGCAGGGAAATACTGGCTATCAAACTCTCTTTTAAAATCTTTCCAAGTAATTACCTTGCTAGCAGGCTGCCTGTCGTTATAAGATTTCGACCAATGCAATGCGCTGCCTTCCAGTAAAAATGTGGCATTCTATAGTTTCTGTTCATCAGTACATTTCATCAAGGCAAATATCCTCTCCATTTTCTGGAACCACCCTTCAGCCTGTAGGGGATCATTGGTTCCATAGAACTCAGTAGCTCCCAATTTTCTAGCACTTTCTACAATATTCTCTTTATCACCCCTTTGTGTCTGTGGCTGCTGTGTAGCTCTTATGGTAGCAGTCATAGCTTGGGCTAATGTGGTCACAAACTTAGGCAGTACAGGTGTACTAGGTTAGGCTAGGGTATCTGGTATGCGAGTCATAGATGGCACATCATGCATAGGGTCATGAGTATGGGAAGATCTTGCCTCCCCATGTGTAGAAGATGATGCACTGGATGTGGCCCGATGAGGTTGGCCTGTGCTCTCAGTCCTAGTTCTTCTACCCGGCCCCTCACCTACTCAGGCCTTTATCTTGGCCCTGTACTTTTCCCTTGTCCTTGCCCTTGTTCTGCCTGGTACCTACCATTTCCTACAATCACATGTCATATGGAAATTAGAATGCAATTATTCATAAAAATGTAATGCATGTGCAAACACAGCACATTTAAACTAATTATCAGAGAAACAGGATGAGGTTCTCATACAGATAAGCATGTAACATATACTGAGAGCATGAAAATCCATAGTTCATGAACTTCATTAACATTTATAAAACATACTTTATTGGAAAACATTTGAATCATCAACTAAAATCTCATCATCTGAACCAGGAACTTTGTTTAAGAACATATCATATTATCATATACTGAAATACTTAATATAATTCACCCGTTGAGCCTGCAGATTCAGTTTTAGCTAAAACATGCATCATTGAGCTGGTGCTGGAAGTGAAAAGTTGTTGGCCCATAATTCTAGTCTAACATGCATGCTGACAACTAATTGAACTGAAATGTGTATCTCAGTCTGTGGGTGCTAGTGGGCTATGGTAGACTGCACCACAGGGCACTACTCCCATGGCCAACTATCTCATAGCAATTTGGTGCTAGCCCCACCAGCATATATCTTATTCATGTAGAACTACCATGGGTTGATATGGTCCTCGTGTCTTGGGCTACCCACAGACTATCTGGGTGATAGCTAGGTTTTCATATCAGTCTCATATAGTTCTAAAACATAATCAATCCTGTTTCCAGTTTTTGTATGAAACATAGCATTGCATTGGAAATCACATTTGCAAGCTTTCATGTTCATAAACATTTAGTTGAAAGAAAATACTAAAGTTAAGAGTAAGACCACTCACACATTGTCTAGGTAACTCTGCAGTGTCCATCCTGTCTACTGCCTCCTGAGATCTGTGCTGTCTTCCTATATGTCCATCAAAATGTACAATTAATGCCGTGTTCTATGAGAATGCATGCATATGGTGTATATGCAATCATGGTCTCTTAAATTTCTTTAACACTTTAATAAGTACAATTTAAAGTCTAAAATTTAACATTTATTTATTTTCCAACATAAAAGACTTTTAATAATTAATTTTCTACAAATTGTCTTTTATTTCCAAATAGTTCTATGTTTCCCTTTTTAGCTCATTAAAATGCGTCTACTTTAATTGCTTATTAAAATCTCCAAATTTTACATAATTAAGGTGTTAATGTCCTTTTTAGCTTATTTTAATTAATATTATATAATTGCCTACATTTAACTCTTAAGCTATAAAACAACTTTATTAGATTTACTAATTCTAATTTAGTGGTTAACTAACAATTTAAGAGTGATATTTAACACAAATCTCACCCTTGGTTTCTCATACACATATACCACATACATGTGTATCTGTGCTCTTTACCCCCTTATCTTTCTAATTACTTCTCATAAGTTTTGCAAATATCATTTAATCTCTTCAAATCATGGAAATTAAGCATAGGAAAGTAAGTAGTTTTAGGGTTTGTGCAAATTTCTAGTTGGAATTTCCATGATTTATCCATAGAACAATAAATGCTAGAAGCTCTACCATAGATTTCAAGAATTGAAGCTAAGAAATTTTGCCCTTTCATGGCCAACTTCCCTTCCCTTTTTTTCCTATCAATTTGGCCCTAATTTTCCAAAATTGAAGTCTAAGAAATCTATTTTTAAAACATACAAGAAGTTCCACTTAAAATGTACATAATCTAACTAAGAAAATTATCTAAATTTTCTTGGAATTTTCTTCTCTTTTCCTCCTCTTGCTCTTCTCTCTTTTCTTTGTTTCTTTCTTGGACAAAATTGGAGAAGGAAAGAGAAGGAATATGGCAGCAAAGAAAGACATTAAATGCCTTAACACATGAAGCATTTTTATTGGCTCTTTTGTGGTGGGTTGGATACAATATATATATATATATATATATCTCTTATATATACACTTCTACTACATGTCTCCTTCTTCCTTTTGTTGGCCAACATTTTGAGGAGGGAAAAAAGGGGAAATTGTTTGCTCACTTGGAAGCCTTTCACTGGCCATTTCAAGTGGCTTGTGCACATGGCTTTTTTCTATTGGCTAGTGTTCTTATTTGACCAAGTCAACTTGGTCATTTGTTTCACAGCATGGAGGGAGTTGTAAGAGCTTCTTCTCCATGGCCATTCAAGCCATGGACACATGTAAGGCTCTCGTTGGTTCTAGCCTAACTTTGGAAGAATTAATTTCTAATCCTTCCTTTTTCCATTTAATTGCATATGGTCCCTAAAAATTTAATTATTCCACTTAGGTCCCTAAAATTTCAACTCACACATTTAAATCCTAAAGATTCCAATTAAGTTAATTTAAACCCCAAGAATTTGAATTTGTAACTTATAAAGTCTAGAAACTTTTGAAATTTCCAATTTTGCCCTTAGTTTTTCTTAAAATTTTATAACCATATGCAATGGTTACAAAATGTCATAAAATGCATACTATGCCATGTTTCAACATGAATATGCATGTAGATACATGACGGTACATTAAGAAGGTTTAACGCTTAGGGTTTTAGGTTTACAGGTTTGGGTTATGACATTTCCACACCCCCCTTAAAAAAAAAATGAATTTTGTTCTTGAAATTCCAGTACCTGAAGTTTCGAATAGGTAGGGATACTTGGCTTTCATCTAATCTTCTCTTTCCCAAGTGGCCTCCTCTGTCTTGATTTCTCCACAGAACTTCCACTAGAGGAATCCATTTGGAGCGTAGTTGTTTCCTTTCTTTGCTCAATATCTGAATTGGTTTTATTGGAAATGACATGTCACTCTTGAGTTCAATTGGTTGTTCTTGGAGTTTATGGGATGGATCAGGGATATGTCTTTTCGACGTAGAGATGTGGAAAACATCATGTATGTGAGACAACTTTGGGGGTAAGGCTAATCTATATGCTACTGGTCCAATTCTTTCTATGACTTCATGTGGTCCAATGTACCTTGGAGTTGGTTTTCCATTCTTTCCAAATCTAAGCACACCCTTGCAAAGAGAAACTTTCAAAAATACTCTGTCCCCAACTTGAAATGTAACATCTTTATGTTTGGGATTTGAATAACTCTTTTGTCTGCCCTGAGCAACCTTGATTCTTTCTCTAATAATTTTAATTTGATCCATAGTAGCTTGGACTATTTCTGGACCTAACAATTGTCTCTCCCTCTCTTCATCCCAACAAATAGGTGTCCTACATTTCTTACCATACAATACATCATAAGGTGCCATGCCGATGCTGGAATGATAATTGTTTATAAGCAAACTCCATCAATGGTAAATGCTCATCCCAACCAGCTGAAAGTTCAAGAATACACTTCAGAGCATATCTTCTAATGTCTGAATAGCAAGCTCTGATTGCCCACCTGTCTGGGAATGAAAAGCCATGCTGAATATGAGTCTAGTTCCCTAAGCTTTTTGTAGACTTGGCCACAGTCTTGAGGTAAATCTTGGATCTCTATTTGATACAACGGATACTGGTACTCTATGTCTACTAATGATCTCATCCATGTAGAGTGTCTAAGAGAAAGTGGTCTTGACTAGAATGAAATGAGCAGATTTCGTCAGTCTGTCCACGATGACCCATATAGCATTATTCCCCTTCCTAGTTACTGGCAGCCCTGATACAAAGTCCATAGTAATGTGCTCCCACTTTTATTCTGGAACAGGAAGTGGTTGCAGCTTCCCTACTGATCTTTGATGTTCTGCATTGATCTGTTGACATGTAAGACATTTAGGCACATATTTAGTTATTTCTTTCTTCATCCCATTCCACCAATAGCTTTGCTTGATCATATGGTATGTCTTGGAACTACCTGGATGCATAGCGTATGCTGAATTGTGGGCCTCTTCCATGAGCTGATCTTTAATATTTCTTGTCTTAGGAACACATACTCTGGTGTTGAAAATTAAAATCCCATCATCCCTCAACTGAAAATCTTTTCTTGCCCCATTCTTGACTTCTTCAATAATCTTCAACAGATAGGGGTCTTGTTTCTGGGCATTACATATCTGCTCTACCAATGTTGGTCCAACTCTGAAATTTGCCAACAAAGCTTCAAAATTTCCCACTGAAAGCTTGGCATCCAATGATCTCAACTCTATCAAGATAATGTGCTTGAAGACTTACAGCTCAAGGCACCTGCCACTACATTTGCTTTACCTAGATAGTACTCAGTAGTGCAGTCATAATCTTTTGGAAGCTTTATCCATCTTCTTTGCCTCAAATTTAATTCTTTTTGTGTCAAAATATACTTCAAACTTTTGTGATCTATAAAGATTTGGCATTTTTCTTCATATAAATAATGTCTCCCAATCTTCAAGGCAAAAAACCACTGCTGCCAACTCTAAATCATGTGTGGGGTAGTTTAACTCATGAGGCCTCAACTGTCTTGAAGCATAAGCAATTACCTTTCCTTTTTGTATTAGAACACAACCCAGACCCTTGTGTGAAGCATCAGTTCAATGTTGGTAAAACCCAATGTGGAAGTGACAGAATAGTCATCAATGGAGGACAAAGAAAACTGCCAAATATTAAGTGTTTTTGATTGCTAGATTCAATAATACATTTGGAGGGACAATGATAGAAATGATCAAATTTGTGACGATACCTGTTAGCATGTGGTTTGGACATGTGTAACAAAAACCCATGGGTTATGCAGTTAGGAAAATTGGAACTATCTATTTTTGAAGTTAATAATGGAGGATGTTACAGAGCTATACTAACTAGTATGTTTGAGTTGGTGAAGAAAATGTTAAGATATTATAGTGACCAATGCTATGGGATCATGGAGTGGAATGATATAAAATTCAATTAGCCAAGCTCACGTACTTGGAAAAATGGCCTGGTTGAGTTAAGAATTGCTATGGATTTAAATCTGTATGTTTAAGACTACTGGGTAGGCAATAATGAAGAATTGGTAGAAGAATATTGGCAAGGCCTGGGACTCTTGCTACATGACATGAAAGCATGTCTTTTAGGTTTTTACCACAATGGTGTCCAGAGCAAGATATTGGACTCAACACATTTAAATTAAATACCCGAAGTATGTGAACATGTTACTGGATACAGAAAGTATGATAATCTACCATTATGCAAAGCCTTTCTTTTCCCTGGGTAATGAAGCTGGCAATTCTGCTATATGACATTTTAGTTAATACAAAATGACCAAAAGTTAGAATACTTAAGCATGCCTGACGTAATTATATTATTATTGCTGTGTCTATATGTTGTTTTAGTCAATGGTGGATTTTTGACTGCCTTGATTTCAATGAACTAAGATAAATTTTGTAAGGCTCATGAGAATTCATTATCATTGGACCTATATACAAATATATGTCAGTTTGGTTTTTTCCTGGGTGTAATAGATATACTTCAGAGGTGATTCAATCAATATCATGCCTATTCTTAGATTGATATGCCATTTTGAACCTTTTGACCTGCTAAAATCCATACTATTAGGCCATCCTTCTTGTTTGTCAGTTTATGACATCATTTTGACAATGGAGGTATACCTTGGAGTTAAGCGGAGTGTGGATTGTGCAATTGCCATGGCAATGGTAAAGTAGAAGTTTGTTACTGAGATCATGGTCTTCTGCCATATGTAATGATACTGTTGTTGGATAACTGGAGTACAAAGGGTGGGATCGACTGATGTTTGATATCCTTGTAGACAGTATATCAATGTTGAAGTGAAAGGGGTGATTTTATAATTGTTGAAAGAAACTAGTTCTGCTGTTGGTATGAAGTGTTTGGTTATGGATAAATATTCTGTTCATACATTTAGCAAGGGTGTCAAGTTGAAAATTTTTGAGTGATATGCAGCAACCTTTGTATGTGGTTTGAAACATAGAGGTTGAGATTTCTTATAGGGTTGAGAGAAAATGTCTTCCATCTTCTTGATTCTATTTATGGATTGTTCTTGATTCCTGTGAATCTAAAAATGAAGAAGACCAGTCCATATACTGAAGAGATTGTAACCATTTCAGAGCAAGATGGTGAAACAATTATACCTTAGTTGGATAAAAAATGTTAGCACTATACCTGATGCTCCAGAAGGAAAAAAAAGGTCAGTCGCTTTGTGTGGTGTAGCCAAGTTATTGGCTTACTAGAAAGTTGACATGTGCTTTTATGCTACCTGGTAGTTGACTTTATAATGGTTATATGATCTGCATATGCATATAAAACTTTATATATGTGTTAGGGGTAGTAGATGGTCTTTGCAAATAACTTTTGTGCATTGACTGAATAATGGAAACTTCAATTACGTGGTTGTCCTGATTCCTGTAGGGTGGTTGTCTTTATTTTCTTATCTGAGAGGGCTTACTTTATTTAGAGTAGTTGTGGAAAATTGTTGAGAAATCTATGCATTTTATTATTCTATACCAGTGATATAATTTGTCTGTGATTCATTATGCATACTTTTCTGTCATTATTTATATGTTGATTCATAGTCTATTTTGTGCTTCAGGTTATATTCAGAAGATCTTTGTACAGCAAGTTTAATGAAGTTTCCATGCCTTATTCTCTAATCCCTTTATATCTCTTTGTTATCTGAGGTTTCTATGTGCTTATCCTAAAAATGTGATTTTTACATAAATCAATTATAGAAATTGAGTTGAGATCCATTTTTCTTTTATTTTCGTTTCTATTTTATTTCATTTTTTGGGGGTGATTCTGGACATTTAATAGTACACAATGGTTGCAGACTGACTGGGAGGGTGGTTACTACCCACTTACTCTCCATTTTAGTGAAGACTACCCTAGCAAACCACCAAAGTGTAAATTTCCACAGGGCTTTTTCCACCCTAATGTCTACCCCTCAGGAACTGTTTGCCTGTCAATTCTCAACGAAGACAGTGTAAGTGCTTTTTGTAGGTTCTTAACACATTAAGGTTAAGAGATGGTTTTTATAGTTGGATTCTTTTCATTTTTGTTTTTCTTTATTTTTTTTGGGGTTATTCTAGGGTTGGAGACCAGCAATTACGGTAAAACAAATTCTAGTGGGCATCCAGGATTTATTAGACCAGCCCAATCCTGCTGATCCTGCACAAACTGAAGGTTATCACCTCTTTATCCAGGTAACTATGCTCCTCTTACAGCTAATGACCTGAGATCACAGGTATCCTGAAATATTAGAATTGTCCTTTTTCTTTCTCTCTCTCTCTTTTAATTCTTTTGATTATATATGTGTGTGTGTGTGATGGGTAAAAAATTCTTTTTTGAATAAATTTGATACTTATTATTTGTAATTTTCCCTATCATGGATTATTTACTTATATACATTTTCTCCAAACTCACCTTTCTCCAAACCTACTTTCTCTAAACTTGCTATCATGAGAACAAACCATGGGACGTCTACCATTCTGTCTTAAGAAAAAAAAAAAAAATTTACGGGCCGAATGTGCATTTTCTTTTTATAAGCTAGTGCTTTGTCTGTCAGTTGTTGGGCCCAGTGGCATGTAACTGGATTATTTCAATGATGTGATCCAACTTGAGGCTTGCTCCCACTTGGGGACGAACATTTGGCCAAGCGCAAATCACTTAGCAAGTTAGCCTATAAAAACTTTCCTGTACTTAATTGTGATTGATAATTGATGGTTGAACTACATCATGTAAAATCTAATGCAGGATGTTGTGGAGTACAAGAGACGGGTCCGGCAGCAGGCCAAGTTATACCCTCCCCTCGTCTAGATACCGGATATTGTTTTTTAGAACTTGTTGATAATTGGTAACTGTAAGGTTGCCCTAGTTGTAAACTTAAATGCTTGAACTATACTTGTTTTCCTCTTGATTTGAATGGAGGCTGTTGGTGTCTGTTTTAGTGACATTGATTTATGTTCTATATATGGGTCTCTTTGGTGTGACCCGAACAAGCGAAAAGTGTGGAACCCTGGGAATAGTCAAAAACATTATTGGAATGCTACTAGTACGCTTCGTGAACATTTGTGTTCTCATTCAAAATAGTATTCTAAGGTGTATGTGGAAATACCCACCTTGTTCTTTAGTTTTGGGTTTGTTTTCCCCCTATTTTTCCTGTGTCTAGTTGTAAGAACCTCACAACTGGACGGCTCATGATATTGTCATTTCTCTTAAAAATTTAAATATTTTGTATTTATTGCAACAATTTTAAAAAAATGAAATTTCCAACGGGTAGCTGCTTGGTTTGCTTGTCGGGGGTAGGAATGGGACGAGATAGTTTTTGGTTTTATAAATTGGTAGTTTGGAAGAGTTAAATTTCGTTTTGTGGTTGATATAATCGTGTATCAATTATCGTCATTTTTGTGGAGAAAAAGGATGAAAGAAGAAAGAAATTTTCTTGAGAGTTGAGGAGGATGAAGTTGAAAGCTTTTTTTTGAAAGTTTTCAACGTTGGAGAGTGATAAATCTAGGGCGCGTTTAGTTAGGTGGTTTTCTATTGTCATTTTTAATGAAAACAGAAAATAGTGTGGAAAGCTGTTTTCTGTTTTTATTTTTGGAAAATATTTTTTAAATTAAGTTGAAAATTGAAAATAACAAAAGTTGTTTTGAGTGTTTCTTTGCCTAGAGTAAAAAAAAAAGAGAGAGATGACAAACTTATAATTAAGTAGATTTTGAATCTATTTTACTTATTTTTTTCATGCTAATATTTCTCGTCTCTTTCCCAATTGCTCCTTGCTCCTTTAATGGCAGAATTGAAAACAACTTTTGCAGTGGCTATTGGGCGACATGAATGAGATTGAAAGGAAGAGATAGTGAAGGCATTTGGGATCGGAGGGGCAATAGGGATCGGGAGGGCAGTTGCAATTGACGGTTGGCTTCAATTATTGAAGAAAGTAGAGCAAATTATGAAAATAGCAATTCGAGCTTGGCATGCAAACAATAGCTTCAACAATTAGAGAAGACAAGGTGGCTCGCTTGTCAATCGGAAAAGAACTAGACGAAGAGCGGTGGTGACTAAGGCAACAATTTTTAATGAGTTAGAGGCGATGATCGACAGATTTGTATGTTGCAAGAATTGAGAGTACAAAGGGATATGAGAACTAATTTGATTTAAGGTTTTTATAGAAATCATAATTAGAGTTCTGCTATGGTTAAACTTCTTAATCAATTGAGAGACCATGCTTGCTAGGGTTTTGAATAGTGTGAAGATAGGTAGAAGAGACAAGTTTTGACAGAACAAAAACCCTAATTTGGAAAGAATGAATATAGTATTTTGGTCCCTCATTTCTTTTTTTTTTTTTATTCAATCTAATATTTAAAATTATCAAACCCCTATTTAATTTCCAAAATTTCTGATTTCTTTAATTAAATTTTTATCCAAAATCCTAAAATTTTAATTTCGTTCAATTGTGTTCTTATTTTCAATTTACTAAAATTGATACACCAAATGTATTTTGCTTGTTTTCATGTTTTAAAAGTAGAAAGTAGTAACTCTAATTAAATATATTTTCATTATTTTGAAAATTAAAAATAAAAATTATTTTGAAAAATTAATATTAAAAATGAAAATAGAAAATATCTTTGCAAAACCAAGCAGGCCTTAAATGATCTTGAACCATCTGAATCAGATGTGAAGTTGAATGTGTTCTCACCTCACCATCACAGATCGTAGATAGTTGAGGGGCTAATATAATTAACCCAAAACTATAATCAGTTAATAGAGAATCAAATGCTTGAAAGTACAGAAATCAATTAAAGGTAAACTTTGTAGACTCATGCAGGGGTGTTCATGGGTTGGGTTGGTGGTTTAAGGGTTAAATATAACTCAAACAAAATGGAGTTGAGTTTTTTTAAAACTGAAACTGAATTCTGAGTAAATTGATTAAAACCAAACTAAGTTTTTTATTATATTTTGTCGGTTTTAAAAGATTATTTAATTAATCTAGTTCATATTTTTAAATCTAACCTATTTAATCATGAAATATATTAATTATGCAAGCAAATAAGTCATAAATCAAATGTAAAACAATTAAAACCCTTAAATTTAGCCATTTGTAATAAGTCATAAAACGATTAAAAATCCATAAAACACATTAGGTAAAGACAAATTAAACCTAATATGTAAACAAGTAATATACACACACAATATGTGTTGGTTCATATTAGATAAGGTTAAATTTATTGATATAATTTCAATTAGAACTGTTAATGGATTAGATTTTAATCCAAATTTGATTTGAATTTTAAGATTTGAATTCGATTAAAATGTTTGATAAATTAAATTCGATTACAAATATTCAAAATTTGAAATAAGTGGATTGAATATGTAATTACATTATCCAATTCATTAAGAATTCAAAGATGAATTTTAATAATTTTTTATTCAATTGATAATTATACATGAAAAAATAAATATATTCAAATTTGTAGGGATTATTTAGAAAATTTAGGGACCAATATAATTAACAAAATAGAATTGAGTGATTTAAGTGTAAAAGAATATTGTTTTTTTAATTGAATTAGATTTTCTTATTAAATTTTGGATTATTCATTAAACTTAAATATAATTTAACAAATATAGATATTTTAGGATTTCATGTTAAATTTGATTTGAAAATAGGTAATCGGATTCAAATTTGAATTTATCTGATTTGATTTAAATTTAATTCGTTAATAATCCTTAATTTCACCTAATATCAATATAGAAATTTTAATTTAAAAACTTTTCGAACCAAAAGTAAACTTTATTGAACCTAAATTTCTACAAAATCAAATATCTGAGTTCAATTCAATTTTTATTTTTTAATTTTGATCAACATAATTGAAATCTATACTTAGAACAACTCAAACTCTTACGAAGAAATCTTTGCCTTTTATTCGAACTCGAAATACGATGAGTTAAACTCTTAAATCCAAGTTCAATAAATATAATTTATTCGAAAAAAATTGAATTTTTGTTAATCAACCAAAAAAAGAAGGAAAAGCCCAATCTCTTTATTCAAATATTTTTTTTAAAAAAAATATTGACGCATGATTATTTATCTCTACCTCTCATTCAAACTCAATAAAAAAAAATTCATAATATGAATTGTTTAATCAAAATTTTAATGCATATATTGCTTTTTAATAATAACAAAAAAGAAAATACAAACCCAATAGTAACTTGGAAGTATACCAAGAATCAAACTCTTAACTCAAGCAACCTTCGTATATAAATCAAATAATAGTTGAACCATATATTTATTTAAAATTTAAATATTTCTTAATCTCAATTAAATAGATAAAAACAAATGATGATTAAGACACTCCCTATTTTTTTAATCTATTTATTATTGTCATTATATTTTTTCAAACAAAGAAACCTAAAAATTGTACAAAAATGGGATGCAAGAAATTTGAAGCCAGAACTTTCTCAAGGAAATTAATTATGTTCTATTTTTTTCGAAGAAATAAAATGTTTTCTAAAATACCCAAGGCTCATCTCACTCACAAACAAAAATGAATTTTTTTTAAGAAAAAATACCAACCCGTACGTCTTGGTAATTTTAAGGATATTTGGTACTAAATTCAATATATTTCTATTTCAAGTCATTTGTAAAAAAATCCTCAACTAAGAAAATTATATTTTCCAAATATCCTTGCCAATTAAGAACAATTTAGGTCAAACAACATTAGTGAAATATGAAATAAGATCACTGAGTATATTCAGTTTTAGGTGATAGGTTAAAATAAAATAAAATAATTTTATCTTATTACATATTGGTACGCAAATAACGAAATCGGAGAAAGATTATGAGATACTGTTACAAAAGAGATGAGTGTTTTAGTTTTTATTAAATTTCTTATTTTTCTTCCTTTAACTAAAATGTTCCCTATTATTACACTAAAGAAGGGTCAAATTAAACTAAATACTAAATGCTCACAAGGACGAGCACAATGAACAATACTCACGAGTCCTTATCCTATTATTTTTTATTATTTTTAATAAAATACTATTAAATATAAAATAAATATTATATAATTAAATAAAAATTATCAGTTTTATTTTATTTATTTGTGTCTTATTTTTCTAATGGGACGCGGTTATAGTGTAGAGATGAGATAGACAGATGCAGTTATAGTGTAGAGATGAGATAGACAGTCAACTAGCTATGGATGACGTCAATTAACTTTGTGAAAATAACAAAATCACAAGTCAGTTGAGAGAGAAGGACTTCCGGGGGAGAAGAGCTTTAGGGTTTCTGAAAAAGATGAAATAAGAGGCAGAAAGGTGTTAGGAGTTTTAAAGAAGATGAAATAAGGGAGAAGCTTCTGTTCATGTTAAAAAAGTGAAATGGAAAATCGGATAAGAGACAAGCTCAAAAAATGAAGTTTACAGTCCCAGGGGCATTTAGAAAATAACATGTTCTTAATTGAAGAATTTTCTACAGAGGATTTGAAATGAAAATATTTTGCATTTTGATCCCCAAGTCCCCCAAAATTACCAAGCTGTTGGTAATTTTCCCAGGTTGTTGGGGGCCCCGATAAGACTCAAAGTATTTTCCTGGGCTCGAATAAGGGCCAATTTCCACCGGTAGCCTACGCCAACGTCACCCCTGAAGGCGGAGACGGACGCAGCACTGTCTAGGGCTTTTGACATCACCACGATCGCCTTACACCGCCATGGATGACATGGCAGCGTACTACCCTCCTCCGGCGGGCGTCCACCACAACCCTCATTACCCCTACTACCAACAACCTCCTCCAGCTGTGCAACCACCTCCGCCGCCTGTG